TGGGGGTCAGGGTGTCAGCACCCTTGGCCACTGTACTAGTGTATTTCCATTGTGGGGGTGTTTACTGTAGGGGGAGGAGACCAGAGGTTATAACTGTAACTTGTGTGGAGTTCTTGAGATCAGCCTTTAGCATAGGACTGCATAGGAATGCAGTGTGCTGATCTCCAGATCTTGTGGCTTATTGGTGTTATTTTAGTCGTTATTGTCGTATTGTTTGTAAAGTTGGTGAAGCCTGCAGTCGGCTGAAACTGAAGAAGTCACATAGATAAGTGATAAAATGTTTCTACTAAACGCTGGGTCCAGATGAACAGAAATAAATTTCTAGGATCCAATCAGTTTACACTGACTACTACTCCATGGTTGTTTTGTATGTTAACAAGAACAAAATAAGTGAAGTAGACTTACATGGCTTGTTCAAAGAGGTTTTCCAACATATGGTTTTAACCAAAAAAGCATGGGTGCTTTTTCCTTAAAAAGTAAAAAAAAAAGAGAGAAACAGGCAATTGTTAAGAACGCCTTAGGTGAAGCAGTGTTAGATAAACTAACAAAACACTGCTATTAAAAAAACTATTGGCATATAAAAGCTTCCATTAAGCTGAATATTATTTATATTATTGCATACATATGGTTGACAGAAAGTTACCTCTGTAGCTATTTCCCATTGAGGATTGCAAAAGAAACCACAAAAACTAATAAAACCAACTTACTGATTGTTTGTACATGTGCAGAGGAGGCAAAGTGGACATACTGGATAAAGAATGTTGAATATGGAGCTGCCATAATAAAAAATAAAAACTAGTTAGTGTGAGATACGACCTGGTTTTTATTTAACCAGTAAGGAAATTGTGATTCACACTCCACACCAGTTGGAGGCGCTGGTTCTCCAACTTGTCTGTCAGCCTCAAAGAAGAGACGACCAATGACGACCCAGCAGGGAAGTATTGATCTGGTTGTCATCTGTCCAGTGTTTGGTCTTTTTAAAATCGGTATGTTCTCAACTGTAACCTTTAGTGTAAGCTTGCTTTGGCGTTATATCACACTAGAGTTAGCAAGCGTGTTGGTAGCATTCATTATAGTTTCAGTGATAGCTTAGCCTTGTTACTGTAACACCAGCTTGTCTCATGTAGGTGTGTGCAGTGTCTTACCTAAACAGCTAAAACAGTCAGGTTGTTTCAGCCAAAAGTTTCACACATCTCTGTTTCTGTTGTAGCAAATGCATTTGTTAAACCCTCGTTTGCGTGTGTCTTTCTGCTGCTGCTGTATGTGTGTGTGTGTGTGTGTGCGTGCGCGTGCGTGCGTGCAGGGGTG